GCACCTACCCTATGAACCAGGGACTAGGCCCTGCCATTCCCCCAGCCCCGTTCGTGGAAGGCGGGAGTCACCGCCGATACAGGACAAATAAGCCGAAGTTCCTGCCCTCTCAGGGAGGGAGAGTCTAGTTTTGTTTGGGTTCAAGGCAGGCTATGATCTATGTTGTAAAGAGGTACAAAGTTCTGGGTGCCACTTAGGAGCAGCTTCCAGTAGGCCGCCACACTTGTGTACCCCCTCACGTTTTGTATTTTTAGGCGTTTCCTGAGGAACCCCCAGGGAGTATTTGTAAATAGTTTGAGAAGAGGTAGTTGTCCCACAAAATGTGTAACCGGTACCCTGTGTAAAGGAATTTTGTTTTATTTTTTTCCCTAGGAAAAAGAAGGGAAGGTCCTAGAGAGGAACAGAATTTCAGAGCTGTTTAGGGCTTTAGAGATTATCTAGCCCAACCCCTAAATTTTATGGACGAAGAAAAAGGCTCAAGTGAAGCAACTGGACTTTCCCAAGGTCACAAACTAGTAAGTGCGAGGACGGAAGCGTGTGCTCTGGCTCTGGCTCAGGGCCGGGCTCTCTCTCTCCACCCGCGGCCTCAGGAATGCTCCCTCCACGCTAGTGTTTATCTGGCCGCCACGCCCGCACCAGAAACCCGGGATCAGTGAGGAACCTGACACCCCCTTCAGCGGCGACCAAGCCTGCCCCGGCCGTCCCTACGGGAACATGTCGCCGTCCCCGGCCCTGCCCTCAGCCAACCTCTAGCCTCTGCGTCCCTGTCCCACGACCCTGGGCAGAGTCCCCGGAATAGAAATGCCCGCTGCGCCCCGCCCCGCCGCAGCCCCGCACGTGCTGCGCCTCGTGCACCGCCCCGGGCCCCGCCCCCGCCCTCCATTGGCTGTTCCGCGCCTTCCTTCTTCCCCCTCCCCACGCGACTGGACTCGGCTGCATCTCCACGTGACCCGCGCGGGGGGGGGGCTCTCTGATAGGCTCCCCCCGCTGGCATGGCTGCTCCCAGCCCCGCCTCCCTTCAGCGCGTCCAGAAGGTGGTGAGATTGGGATGCGAGGGAAGGGAGAGCGGTTACAGTGGTCCGAAAGAAGGGCGGGGGTTACGAAGAAGGAGGCGAAAGTGAAACCGCTGGTAGAGGGGAAGGGGCTGTCGCCGAAAAGGGCCTACGACCAAGACTCCACCAGGCACCAATCAGGTGACAGAGAGGCCGACGGGGCGGGGCCTTCGGCCCTGCTCCTCACCTGGCCCCGCACGTGTCTCGTTTACACGGGTGGCCTAACCAATTACGGCCTGGAAGGCTGAGCCTGCCCCTCTCGCGGGGCGGGCCAATCTAAGGCTGCCATCCGGGGAAGTTGGCCTGGCCTTATGAATAATTAATATGACAGAGCCTGTCCGCAGGCGGGGTAGGGATGGAGGGAGGCGGGGGTGCCGCTGGGCGCCTGCGCAATAGCTGCCCGTGTCGGCAGCTGCGGCGGGTCGCACGGCTCCGTCCCATCTCGGGGGGCGGGCGGGGGAGGCGAGGCGCGCGAGCAGAGCGCGGGGCACGATGTCCGACGCGGGCGGCGGAAAGAAGCCGCCTGTAGAGCCGCAGGCGGGGCGGTAAGGCTAACGGTAAGCATTAGGGTTACGATTAGGGTTAGGGTTAGGGAACAGGGACG